CCTTATTAGAAGTTTGCGTAGGGAGATGTATGATGCAATTGAGTAAAGGAGTATTTCACGAGGAGAGGTCATCAAAATGTCGCGCTTTTGTAGGTTTCAGTAGATAGATGATCACGCTCATACTAAGATCTCCATAGTTCTGCTCACGAACATACCTTCAACAGAGTGAGTCAAACAACCAGCTTCGTAAGATACCCGACAGTTACAGGAGGTCCATTCTGCATTACAGATGCAGGCATTGTCAACTAGCTCACCATTTGTGGCAGACCCTGAAATACCAAAGATTTTTTGTGGGTCACCTAATTCCAACGTGAACAGCAATCGGTCAACTCACAATGATAAATGTGTCCTACGGCAGAATTTGCTCGAATGAACTGGGAGGTGATATCCCAATCTATGGAAACCACAAACGATGACAATGTACCGACCCGAGCAGCTCGATGAAATCGCTGTGAGCCATCCGTACGATATATCAATACCGAAAGCTCCTGACAACAATGGTATTGGAAATATGAACGGAATCCTAGTTGTCCAGGGTTCTGACATTTGATGTAGTGCTGACCGAGCTCTTCATGGATACTTTGTAACTATTCAGTTCTGATTTTTTTTTTACTATGATAAGACACACCAGCTCAACCTTTTACCGATAATCAAGTGAACCGAAACTTTAGTGAGCTCAACGAAAGCAGAGATCTACAAAACCAATTTCATCAAATACCTTCGTTGCAACGATAAGCAAAGTGCTGTCCGGAGAGAACTGGATTGCGGTAATCGGTTGGGTAGACTCCTTCTGTTCAAACACCGTCTCCTTTTTCGACAAATCCACAACGCTCCATGTTCCGCCACAGAAACCTAAGCCCAGGGAAATACCCGGAGAATCAACGGACATGCATGTTATACCTTCCTGTAAACGGCAGTTTAACGTGAAGGTAAATTTAAATGAATGCACAACATACCCCATAATTTTTTCGCCATTCCCTTTTTTTCGTGGATGAGTCATAATATCGAACACCACCGTCAGCACTGGCGGTTATGAAGAAATGTGGCTTGACCGCCACACAACAAGTAACGTCGTCTGTGTCTCCCTGAACGGATAAGCTTTGTAAGGATAAGCTCACATAAATAAAAAATAGAGGATAAATCTGGTACCAATCAGGGACCGACCCCGTAGGGATGGGAGACTTGGTTAGTCTAGGCGGATATCTATTCGGGAT